GCAAAACATTTATTAACAGCACATTAACAGATGACTAAAATTATTCATACGCTTCCATTGAAGAAAATATTCTGAATGTTATTATTATAATTTTTACTTTATCATTATTTTATTGATATAAAGACGACCGTACTCTCACATTTTCCAGAAAATAGAGTAGCTCGTTCTTAATTTGATCAATAATAAATTGAGTCAGTCATTAATTTTTTTCACACACCCCGTATAAGCAAATCTAAAAATTATTTATGCAGTGATAAATCACAATTATAGGATCATCATACTTTGCACAATGCACAGATAGCATTTTTTCGGAAAAATTTTGGGGTGGCGTGATCAGTTTTTTAGGGGGGGATGAGCAAATATATTTTGATCAAAAATTATCATGCCTATGATAACTTTAAAACATCTCCAAGATTTCAAAGCATTTGGTTCTGTAGTTCCTGATTAAATCAATAAAATACATTTACGCATTCATTAATTTTTTTGGGTCACCTTGTATATGCAAATCCAAAAAATTGGTCTAAAGAGTTTAGACAGTACTTCCCTCGCTGTCGGAAACTTGACGACTGCATGCCTATTGCGTTTTTTTCTCATTACATTTTTGTAGTGGGAATTTAAAAAAAATTGCGATGACGTCATCAACATTTTTGCAAGGACACGTATATCAGTTGGGATAGATGTAGTGTAATACTAAGAATAAAATTATTGTATTCCCAAATTTTCGGGAAAATGAATTGGGTCGTTTTGAATATTGATTTTTTATAATCAATAAAATAACGAAACAATTTACTCACGTATACGGCAACTGAAAATCGTTTATGTATAAACATTCTTAATTTAAGATGACAAGCGTAACAGCATACGTGAGAGTCAAACAGAGAAACTGTAAACAAAACGACCATCGGTTTTATTGCTTCGACTTCCGCTTATTATATAAAACATTGGGTTTTATTTTAATTCTTGACGGTGAAATTCACAATTGGTTGATTATAAACATGTCTATTTCACATTCGCGGAACCAAGTGAACGAATAAAACAAATGCAGGTCTGTAATGTTAAAGTCGATGTAAATAAGCGTGCTACCCTTATGTTTCAACCGAGTTTTTCCTTTAACAAATTTTGTGTCTACCAAATTGGGTTGGTTGGGGTGTAATACTAATAATAAGTGTTGCCTTTAATTTAATCAATAAAATAAATTGACTTCATTAATTTTTTTGAACCACCTCTTAAGAAAATCTAAAAAATATGAATGGAATGATAAATCACAAGTACAAACTCATCATATTTTTTGCATTTTAGATAGGATTTATTCAGCAAAATTTAAGGGTGACGTCATCAATTTTTTTAGGAGGGATGAACAAATACATTTTGAACAAAAGTTTACCATGCTTATAATAACTTTAAAATATTCTCAAGATTTCAAAGCATTCGATTTTGTAATTCCTGATTAAATCGATAAAATAAATTCACGCCTTCATTAATTTTTTTGAGTCACCCTGCATATGCAAATCCAAAAATATGAATGGAATGATAAATCACAAGTACAGACTCATCATATTTTGTACATTTTAGATACGATTTATTCGGCAAACTTTTGAGCTGACGTCATCAGTTTTTTGTAGAAGATAACCAAATATATTTTGACTAAAAATTTATTATGCTCTTTATAACCTTACAACATCTGCAAGATTTCAAAGCATTCGGTTTTGTAGTTCCTGATTAAATCAATAAAATAAATTTACGCATTCATTAATTTTTTTGAGTCACCCTGTATATGCAAATCGAAAGAATTTGAATGGAATGATAAATCACAAGAAGAGACTCACCATATTTTGTACATTTTAGATAGGATTTATTCAGCAAAATTTTGTGGTGACGTCATAATTTTTTTAGGAGGGACGACCAAATACGTTTTGATCAAAAATTTACCATGCTTATGATAATTTTAAAATATCTTCAAGATTTCGAAGCATTCGGTTTTGTAGTTCCTGAGTAAATCAGTAAAATAAATTTACGCTTTCATTTATTTTCTTGAATCACCCTGTATATGCAAATCCAAAAAATATGAATGGAGTGATAGATCACAAGTACAGACTCATCATATTTTGTACATTTTAGATATGATTTATTCGGCAAACTTTCGAGCTGACGTCATCAAGTTTTTGGAGGGGATAAGCAAATATATTTTGACTAAACATTTATTATGCTCTTTATGACCTTAAAACATCTGCAAGATTTCAGAGCATTCGGTTTTGTAGTTCCTGATTAAATCAATAAAATACATTTACGCATTCATTAATTTTTTTGAGTCACCCTGTATATGCAAATCCAAAAAATATGAATGGAGTGATAAATTACAAGTACAGACTCATCATATTTTTACAGTTTGGATAGGATTTATTCGGCAAACTTTCGAGCTGACGTCATCAATTTTTTGGAGGGGATAAGCAAATATATTTTGACTAAACATTTATTATGCTCTTTATAACCATAAAACATCTGCAAGATTTCAAAGCATTCGGTTTTGTAGTTTCTGAGTAAATCAGTAAAATAAATTTACGCATTCATTAATTTTTTTGAGTCACCCTGTATATGCAAATCCAAAAAATATGAATGGAGTGATAGATCACAAGTACAGACTCATCATATTTTGTACATTTTAGATATGATTTATTGCACAAACTTTTGAGCTGACGTCATCAAGTTTTTGGAGGGGATAAGCAAATATTTTTTGACTAAAGATTTATGATGCTCTTTATAGCCTTAAAACATCTGCAACATTTCAAAGCATTCTGGTTAGCAGATTAAAAATTAAATTTCAAAATGTTGTTTTATAATTTTGATTTTTTTTCCAAAAATCTGGACGTTTCGAGTGAAAAGTCGATTCAGAGTTGTAAACTACATGTGTAGGACTATGTTATTTTATACAATTGAAAACCCATTTACTATGTACAATTTTGAAGTGACGTCATCGCATTAGTGGTGGGGATGATTAGACAAATTTTGGTTAGCGTTTTACCATCTACATGATATTCTTAATATAAGTACAAAATTTCACAACAATCGGTCGAGTACTTTCGGAGATTATCTGTCTAATAAAAATCCGGGACGGCAGACGGACAGACGGACGGACAGACGGACGGACAGACGGACGGACAGACGGACGGACAGACGGACGGACAGACGGACGGACAGACGGACGGACAGACGGACGGACAGACGGACAGACGGACAGACGGACAGACGGACAGACGGACAGACGGACAGACAGACGGAAATGGGAGACCTATTTCTTCGTCTTCTAGAGGTCATGAAAGATCGAGAAAACGTAAAAGTAGAGAGTCGGCCGACGGACTCGATTACAATACTTCCTTTGCTTACGCTGGGGAAGTAAAAATATGAATGGAATGATAAATCACAAGTATTGTCTCATCATACTTTGCACATTTAAGATAGCATTTATTCAGCAAAATTTTGGGGTGACGTCACGGAGAAAAATAGAAAAAAAAGAAAAAACCGAAAGACCACGATCAGGTTGTCTTACGCTAAGGGTAAACTGCTAGTCTATCGTGCATTGTGTTTTTGTCACAATTTGGACTGTTATACAAAAAAATCAAAGCGGATTCGTACACCTAAGAGTATATTGTTTTATAACAGTTACATCAAATAAACATAGAATTCTTTGAAATGACGTTGGTGGGGATGATTACCAAATTTTGGTTAGCATTTAACCATCTACATGGCATTTCCAATATACATACAAAATTTGACAACAATCGGTCCAGCAGTTTCGGAGATTACGTGTCTAATAAAAATGGATACAGACAGACAGACAGACGGAAACGGAAGACTACTTTTTTTTGTAATGCAGGGGTTATGAAACGTCGAGAAAACATAAAATTGGCTATTCGTCCGATGGACCCTATTAGTATATTTCCTTAGCTGACGCTCGTGAAGTAAAAATTCCAGATATTGTACTTTTGTTATTAACTGCATCCCTAACTACGAGTATTCAAATAAGTATTACAAAACATGAGCTGCGCTAAGTACTTAATCTTATTTCGTTTTGGTCGGAATAGAGGTGTGCGTCCGATACCGTCGCTTGTTTTGTATTTTTAACAGAAAAGCAATCAATTTAATTCAGAAACATAAATTGACAAAAACAACCATTAGTACATACACAGTACATACTTTACATATCAACTATGCGACAAATGTCGTTGGGTGAGCGATTAGGTGATTACGACGCAAATGTGTTTTATGATATTGTTCTCTGTGTTATTTAAAAATAGCGAAGACTGTAATTTTTACTTCCCGAACGTAATCTAAGGAAGTACAATAATCGAGTCCATCGGCCGAATTGCCACTTTCATATTTTTTTATTACTACAGAAGTGGCTAACTTAAAATACCTTGACACCAAAATTTAAAAAATAGTTTAAGGTTATTTAAGCAGAGCTTTCCTCATCTCTGACACATAATCATACAAATCATACAATAATACAAATGAAGTGGAAAAGACAGATTGTTCTATGATATAAACTTGAAGTGTTTAGGAAAAAAATTTTAAATAAAGAACTTGCTGCAGCAGCAGAAGCTTTTCCACAAATTAACAAGCGAAGGCTAAAATCAGAGTTAGAAGTAACATCCGGTATTATGGAAATTCCGGGAACTTATGACACTACGTGTAATTTCCTGTAATCTTTTAAAATGAATTGTTGTTTATTGGATACTCGTACAATGTTGACAGAATTGTAAGAAATTTTGATCTTGAGGAACTGTAGAAATATAAAATTATTTCAATAAACTTGGGCGTTTTTGCCCATTAGTAACCATTTTAATTGTTGTTGTAATGTTAAAAAATTTGAAAATGTAAACGTTTTAATGGACACAGTTATGGCTGACCTAATTATTCTTTTTCGTACATATAAAAGAATAATTAACATAAATAGGTATGCTTTAAACTGCTTTAAAATGTATTAAGTAGTTAGTCATACTTAGATAACAATACCGCTTGTCGCTATGCAATTAAGTGCAATTTTTAAGCGAAAAAGTCCACAAATTTGGAAAATATGGACAAGACAGAAGGCTACAATATTAAAAATTTCTACAACGCACGGATTAAATACAAGTTCAAAGAGGTACACACTTTATTAACTCAAAAACTACAGTAAATATTGATTTTAACCAGTCATCCCTACGCTAACTAGCAATTTTTTTTAATATATTTTTATTTTAAGATAAAATTGTTTGAAATGTAACGTCATCTTTTAAAATGTTTGGTTTATGTTTTTGTGTTTCAGTGTTACAGTGTTAGTAAAAAAAACTCTTGAAGACGCCTCACATAATTGTGTAACGTTTGCATTTTTTACATTATTCATCTAAATGATCATTGATCACTTTAGTTAAAAATAACAAAAAATAATTTTCAAAATTGGACTAGGGAAATAAGGTTTTAAAAACGAGTGTGTAAGATAACTTTAGAAAGTCCGTTTAAGCAACATTTTCTACTGTTTTCCCTAGCGCTTCAATTTTTAACGTAGTAACTAAACTCAAGGGGATACTGGTAAAACGCTTGTGATTTGAAATTATTGCCATTTTAGTGTATAGATTATGTACTTTTAGAATTTCATCTAAACCAAGAAATGAAGGGAACAATAATTTTTTAGTTAGTGCGGAAAAATATAAAGAATTTTTGAATTTGTTTCCTATGGTAGTGAGTGACTTAACGAATAAGATTGCAGACCCAAATCTTGTTGAAGCAAATGTACACGACGAACTCCTGCGTTATCTTGCCCCTTTTGGTAAAAAATTGAGAGCTTCCATTGTGTTCTCAACTTATGAACAGCTTGAAAAGCCAGAAAATATTACACCGGAAAATCTCAGATTAGCAATGATTATGGCTTGGGCTTTAGAAATGGTAAGTCGAGTCTTAATTAGGTATTAAAAGTGTAAAAAACGGAAATTCAGTCGGAATTAATAACATATTTTTGTTAGCTACAAACAGCTTGTGTACTGATTGACGACGTAATTGACGAAGGAGTGATGCGACGGAGCTCCGTCTGCTGGCACAGAAAAGAAAATATCGGCTTGCATGCAACTAATGATGCAATCCTCCTTGAACAAGGAACTTATATATTACTCAGAAAATATTTTAGAAACCATCACTGTTATCTACCCTCGATGCTGTTGTTCCATGATATCACTCTGAAAACCGCTTTGGGAGAGGCTGCGGATTCCATGTCTGTCAAGAATGGTAAACCTCAATTGCAGCTTTTTACAATGGAAAGATTTAAGCGCATTGCTGAACTGAAAACTGGGTTTTTCACTTTCTATTTACCGATAGCTTTAGGAATGTATATGGCAAACATATATGACTTGGAACTCCACAAAAAGTCTGAAGATTTGTCCAAAGATCTCGCATTTCTGTTTCAAGTGCAGGTAAGTTACATAGGCAATAATAATAATAATAATAATATAAAAGACAATTTACGAAAGTATGTTATGTGAATTGTTAGCAAGAGGTGCAGCATATATTTGCATCACTTTTATAACGCTTTTACAAAAAAGAACGTGATATAAATATTTCACGTCATATACTTAGTTTCCGTAAAATGCTATACGAGATGGGATCATTTTAAAGACAACTATAATTCCTAGGATGACTTCATGGACTGTTATGGCAACCCACATAAAATTGGTAAAAAGGGAACAGATATTCAACAAGGTAAATGTTCATGGTTTGCTGTAATGGTAATGGAAAAAGGAAATTACTGTCAAATAGAGACAATGAAGGAATGTTATGGTCGAAACGATCCTAAAGCAGGAGCAAGAATTTTAAAGGTATATGAAGAACTAAACATTGCAGATCTATATAGACATTGCTTAGACAACACTTTTAATAATATACAAAAAAGCATCAGACAAAACATCTATAACAAAAATTTACAGTCAGTGTATTTTAAAATTCTAAAATCCATTGAGGGAAGATCCTTTTAACAAATCGCAGTCACGTCGTTCTTGGATAAGCAGTGTTAATAAAAACATCATTTTAAAAACTTAATAATACTTTTGCCATTAATATTTTACAGAAATTTGAATATGCTAAACATGTATTGTAAGTTCTATTTGTAAAATGAAACAAAAATGTAAATAAAACGTTTGGTCTTCGGTTGTTTGCTTTAGAGAAACTAATAATTATAGAAACAAGTACGAAAAAGAACATTTTAGCAGAATCTGACTTTTGAGAGAATGTTATAATTACTTAGGTGAGTAAACCGTCAAGCTTTCTCTTGACCAAATCCATTTTACCGAAACTTTGCCTGCTGAGTGGAAGCAGGCCGTTATTAAATTATTATAAATAAGATAAGTTATAAATTTGACCCTTCAGACTACCGTCCAGTTTGACCACTCTAGTTGTTAAAATTATAGAAGCAACAATGTGAATGTCTTTGTATTTTTAATACGAGGTCTACTCCGTAATATTTGAAATACAAGAAAACGTAACGGGCTAGGTTTTTGAAATCTTATTTACGTTCAAAGTAATTACTTCCAATATCGTTGCAGTTCTGCAGAAGAATTTTCTACCGAATCTTAATCTCAAAAATAAATTCTTCTTCTGAAGAAAAATGGCGACCTCATAAATACGTTTCTATTTACAAAAATTTCCAAAGGTCACACACTGCTAAATCAGGGGAGTAATATGGATATTTAATAATTTTAATAATATTTTCGTCCAGAAACTGAACCGTTGTTCTCGCCATGTAACGAAATATTGTCACGGGGGAGCATTGAACTTTTAAGAGTGAATTCGTACAACACTTTTAGCAGACATTTCTGGGTGTACAAACTTACTTCTTTCACTTGAACTGCCCTGACTAGCCCCCCATTTTTAATTAACACAGCGTACACGACTTTTTTAGCTCAATGCTTTTTTTTCATAGTTGTCGGTGTGGGGTCACCTTCGAACACTCACATTCAACTTCCTTGACGCGTTGGAATGTCGAAAAATGGTATATGTGTCTCCTCACCTGGTACTATTTTGGAAATAACACGACGGCCACCATCGTGTAAAAATTTTAAAATTTTTCTGGCAATTCTATTACGCCTTTTGTACGTCTGTCAAATTATGGAGAATCCGAAAGGAAAGAATTTTCGGCATTCGTAATTCTTCATGAAAGATTTTGTGTGTTGCTGCGGATTCGATGTCTAGCCTAGCCGCCATCATTTCATAAGTTCAGTTTTACTATCTTCCGAATGCCAGAATTATTTTCTAAACAATTGCTATGCGAGCCCTATATTCTTCATTATAAAAAGAAACTACTGCCCTTGTAGAGTTCTGAAACCACCTAAAAAGGCTGGCCCAAGACGGTGTTTCATTACGAAACCCGATTTTTAAACGTTTTGAAGATTGTTCCTGAGTTAATCCAACTTTAAAGTCACAGTAAATCATGGAACGATGGTTTTTCCTAAATCATTATTTCGACTTAATAGATTCTCATTTGAGAATTTTAATACAGTAGTATGCAGTATTGATTCCAAATTATTAATTAGTAAGGAAACTACTGTCATCGTGAATGCGAAGAGGCCAAAAGATTTGATGCTGATGTTGTAATATGATTTCTGTTCTATGCCTTCAATTCTGGAACGTTTATTATCGGACACTCCTGTCACAACGAAGTGTGCACCGAACGACATTCTTGTGATTTAGACCATATTTAAGATGTGTTTTTATTTATATGAAGGGGAATTCGATTCATGATGTAATCTTGATTGATTAATTTTGAATTACTGAATTTAAGTTCATGAAGATTCTCGTCGTTTTGTTGTTGCAGTGTGGTGTCACAAAATTTTGGTTACTTTGCAGTTTTTAATTTGAACCCTTGATAAGTATTGATTTTGTTTGTATTTAAATTTGCACCACACCGAGTAATAATGTGGGCATTGCCACCCATTCACTTTAGATAAGCTGTTGCCAACTAGAGAGTTGTATACATTTCATAAGTTGTGTCGATGTGATCAAAATTTGTAATCCTGGGTTTGAAAAGAACCAGGAGATGTTTGTGGGAGACTGGCTGATAAAAAAACGAAATAAAATTAATTCCTCCATAATTTTGTATCGTTAATACAAGGTCACTTTTCCGCCTTTGCGGTTCATCACTTTGCATTAGAAGTGTGTCAGTGCAGCTAATACACGTATAAAGTGTTGCTCTGAGTGACCTTCAGTGGTGTTAAAGTATGTCGGCGACGGTGATCATGGTGGCTGTGGCGTAGGCAACCAAACATACAAGCAATACGTTAGACGTCATAGGTGGCGCCACAAAGTGTTGTGTGATTCCCAGAACCATAAACAATATTGAAGGTCGACGGACATATAGCCATATATGGTAATGAGCAGGAACACGAGGGGGAAAGGGTTTCTCCCACGCGCGGAACGGCGGGACAAGGGGGCAGTGAGAAAGAGAGGCCCGGTCACGTCGGATCGCGAAGTTCCACAAAGTGCTTGTAGTACGACCCTGAGCGCCCAAAAATTCGTTTTTTTTTAATAAAGGCTCCGACAAGTATCATCGAGTGTTTTAGGGTGGATTCTATACCAATCTTTTGTGCTTTGTGTTATCTTTCCAAAGGCCAAAGCGGTTTTTGAATCCAACGGATGGTTAATTTGATATATACCAATATCTACTCAATTGCTGGCTGTTACCACGGGGACGTTTTTACGTACCGATAGTGTTTCTTTCATTAAGGTGAATGACTGCGGTCGTACAACATTTTTAATTAATCCTTTGTTCTCTTATGTTTTACCTCCCGTGGTCTTCCTGTTTGTCGAAAGTTAAACAGACCCTTGGGTGTGAAGAACTTGTGTCCTTGTTATATCCTATATTCCACTTTTTTTTAATCATAATGAATAATATTTGCTTAAATTGTGGTATTGTATGCAAAGCTAATGCCCATACCATAACTTGCGATGGTTGTCAAGGAATATTGCATATTGCCTGTGTGGGGCTCTCCGAAAATGACGTGAAGATAACACGAGCTAAATCTAGGTCAATAAAAGTAGTGTGCAATACATGCAACAATAATATGGCTCAGTATAAAGATTTCAAAACCTTAATTTAATCGTTACAAACCGAGTTTACAACTGCCATAGAGAAACTGAAAGAAGACTTTGACACTCAACTAGCCACTCTTCGGTCCGCGCTTCATGAAGACCAGCGTAGCCCCAGCAATCAATTTGAAGAAATCGTTAACGAAGTAATGGAAAGGCAAAATCGAAAACAAAACTTAATCATATTTGGTGTTGAAGAGCAACCACAGATTTCTACTAATAATAATAATCAGCGTTCTGCAATAGATAAGTCTGCCGTTGAAAATATTTTACAATTAGTCCGGCCTGATGCTGATGTTTCTGGTATTAAGATTCAACGTTTGGGTCGCTTTTCTCAACAAAATCCCGGTAATAAACCTAGACCCATAAGAGTTATCTTGAATGATGAATTCGAGGTTCAAAAATTTATTCGTAATGCCAAGGTACTGAAAAGCAACGTAAACTATAACAATATTACTCTGTCCTTCGATCGCACTCCTAAGCAAAACGCATCCTACAGACAAGTCAAAGAACAACTTGGCATTAGAATAAGCAACGGGGAAACAAATCTGAGAATAAAATATATAAATGGCTCACCCAAAATTGTCTCGGTAAACTAAAAAGAACACCCAGTTGCACGTCTTCGTTGTGTTGTATTTACCAGAATGTTCGGGGCTTAAGATCCAAAATATCTAACTTTTACAATTCTGTTTCTGAATTAATCAATGTTGATATAATAGCGTTAACTGAAACTTGGTTGGCCAGTGATATTAGTAACACTGAATTTCTTCCTCATGATTTTGTTGTTTATCGGAAAGACAGGGATCTACAAGCGATGGGCGTCTCTCGAGGAGGTGGGGTACTTTTAGGTATTAATAATACATTGAAATCATCTGCTCTGGATCTTTCTTATTTAGGGGATATTGTTCCGACTATAGATGTTGTAGGAGTTAAATTGTTCAGTGTTAAGCAGGAATTAATTCTTATTGTCCTTTACGTACCTCCTCAGGTATCAGTACATGAATTTCAACTATTTCTTGAAGCCCTAAGTAGAATAGACATTCAAGAAAATAATAAAATTTTGATTTGTGGTGACTTTAACATTCCGGATTTCACCTTGGGTAAAATAAACCAATTCACTCTATCTCTTAATAATTTCCAATCTTTCCTTAATTTAGAGCAGCATAATAATGTGCAAAATAAATATCACCATATTCTAGACTTAGTTTTCTCTAATATCGAGTGTAAGGTAGAGGCTTCTGATTTCAATTTCGTCGATGATGATGTTCACCATCCTTCTCTTTGTATAGTTATAAAATCTGTAATCCCCCTTGATCAATCTTTCCCTATAAATAATCTAGAACAATATGACTTTAGAAAGGCAAACTTTCCAGTTCTTTATGATATGCTTTACTCTTGCAACTGGGATTTCCTAGATACCGATGGTAGCGTTGATGAAATTTGTTCTCTTTTTTATGCCAAACTCCATGAAATTTTTGATCTTGCTGTTCCTAAATTTAAAATCAAATTGAGTACTAACCGTCGACAATATCCTCCCTGGTTTAATCAGGAAATAAGAAATGCTATACGCACTAAATACTCATTGCACAAACTGTATAAAAAATATAAAACTGCTCATTACTATAATTTATTTAAATTCCATCGTTCCAAATGTAAAGTGCTTATTCAAAATGCTTATAGAATGTACATGCGTAAGATTGAAAATAATATTTCTATAGATCCTAAGTCATTTTGGATGTTTCTTCATAACAAAAAAGGTAGCACACGTATTCCTGGCTTAATGCGCTATGATGACAGAGAACTATCATGTCCACAAGCTATAGTTAACGCTTTTGCTCATCATTTTAGTAATGTTTATATAAAGTCCGATTGTTTAGCTCCTTTTTGCACTACGAATGAAACAGCAGCTCAGCTTTCAATTACTATTACTTCACTGTCTGAAAAAGATATTCTTTTGGCCTTAAAAAACTGTAAGAACACATTTACATCCGGTCCTGATGGCATTCCTAGCTTTCTACTCAAGGACTGTGCATATATCTTTGTGACTCCATTGCTTAGAATATTTAATCTTATTCTCAAAGATTGTCAGGTATCAGAACTTTGGAAAAAATCCTGCATTACTCCCATATTTAAGTCTGGGGATAAAGCTGATGTAAAGAACTACAGGTCCATAAGTTTATTACGTAATTTTGTGAAGATATTTGAATCAGTAATGTATAAGCTAATTTATTCATCTGTGAAATCTTTTATAACACCATACCAACATGGTTTCGTTGAGAAGAGGTCGACTGTGACGAATCTGGCTTGTTTTTCTCAATACGTATCTCAGTTAATCGATAGTAGAAGTCAAGTCAACGCGATATATATGGACTTTTCTAAGGCCTTCGACCAAATCGATTACTTTATTCTCCTAGACAAACTGCGCCAATTTGGCTTCTCTGAGTCATTACTTAAATTATTCAAGTCGTACCTTATTGGTAGAGTGCAGTCAGTACGATATCGTAACTTCTATTCAGAAATATATTCACCGACATCTGGAGTTCCTCAGGGATCTAATTTGAGACCACTTTTGTTCTTATTGTTTATTAACGACATTGTTGAACATATATCTTCCGAAAAGTTGTTATTTGCAGATGACTTGAAATTGTTTTTTGAAATTAACACCATTGATGATTGTAGGATTCTTCAAACCAACATTAATACTGTAGTCGAGTGGTGCAACACTAATCGTTTATCACTAAATAAAAATAAATGTTTTGTAGTTTCGTATACTAAAAAACAGGAACCTATTATCTTCAATTATAATATCGATGCAGTTACCCTAAATCGTGAAGAAAAGTATAAAGACCTTGGAATCACCTTTGATAGTAGGCTAATGTTTAATGATCATATGACAGAAATAGTGTCAAAAGCTTACAGGATGTATGGTTTCATTTACAGAAATTGTAATGATTTTCTCAACATCTCTACTCTTTGCAATCTGTATTACGCATTAGTTAGATCTCAACTTGAATACGGAGTACTAATATGGTTTCCAATTTACGAAATTCATATAAAAAATATAGAATCCGTCCAACGTAAGTTCCTGAAATTTCTGTCATATCGTTCATCTGAGGTATATCCTGACAGAGGGTGTGATCACTTACAACTGTTAAATCAATTCAACTTTATTTCCTTAGAAATTAGGCGTATTATTCATACCATCAGCTTTCTACATAAGTTAGTTAATAGCATGTTTGCGCAAAACAGTTTCTTATGCAGTTTACCTTATGCTTACACTTATAATTTATAATTATAGTTATAAGCATAATTGTAACAGCTATGCTGAAGGCTTAATTAATTTTGCACATGAATTATTTAGAAATTTTGGCGACTTGTGGCAATATAGAAGATGTTCAGAACTACTCAGTTGTTTATATCGTAGATTTCGATCCGATCGATTTTCGAGACGATCGAAGTTGCCAAACCTACTTTAATCTACAAGCGTTTATATCACGGAAAACAGTCCGTTCGATCCACTGATTTGTAGTTTGAAATTGGTTTGAGTTTGACGTTTGGAGAAAGATAATAGTGTAACCAGTGATGGTGTAACACTATTTCTTTTTATGTGTGAAGTTGTCAACATAAATAATAAACCTATAAAAGTTAAAGTCCGTTTACATAGCTTCTTCAAGCATTTGAATCCGTTTTAGATCCGATCGGTTCGATTCAATCCGACTAGTTTGTCGGATCGAATTTTGATAGTGAATCCACTTCAACATTCGATCTGCAGCGTTTATACCATTAGTTTCAATCGGATCGAACTGAGTCGATCGGCTCGAAATCCACGATATAAACTAAGTAAGTGTATCAGTTAATACAAAAAGAGTTTCTTTTTCAGTTGCGACATAATTAGAATTCTAAATGACACTGATTGACATTGTAAAAAAATTATATTGTTGTCAACATAAGATGTAACGATTATGAGTGTTATAATTATAAGACATAGGTTATAAGGGTAAGTGTAAGCATAAGAAAAAAATTATAAGAAAATGTTTTGCGCAAACACGCTAATAACAAAATAGACTGTATAATTCTTTTAGATAAAATTCGTTTCATTGTACCTCGTGTTCATTCTCGACAGTTTTTAACATTTTACTCATTAGCAACCAGAACAAATGTGTTACGTAGATCACCTATAATTCTCATGTGTGAACTATTTAATCATATATCTAAATTTTGCGACATAAATGCTGATAGTTTAGGTACTGTTATTCAAACCATTTATAAAGTCTACTGTAATAAATAATTTATTTTGTCTTTTGTTCCGATCATAATATTATAATTGAACCATTAATTAAAAGTTGCGTTTTTGGATTAAGTTTTCACTTGTGACTTATTTTTACTTAACTTTATTTGAGTTAATATTTTATACATATATATATTTTTTTCTTTTTCTTTTTCTTTGTATTTACTGCACTACTTCATAATTATTGTTAATTTTTTTCCCTGTTACTGGGTGTATTATTACCTGTTGGGAATAAAGTATTATTATTATTATTATTATTATTATTATTATTAAAGAACGCATTTCGCGATTTCAAACACAACGATTGAAAGTTAAAAAAAAAATGTTTGTATAGAATTAATATTTTGTTCTTTACAAGTCATATATTTTTTAAGCTAAGCTACTGATGAATTAATCAACTTATTTATTTGATAATGTTAGAAATTTTTATAATTACCAGTAAATCATAAATACAGGGTGTTATTGAAAGGTACGTACAAAAAAATTGACAGTTCTTCGCGAAGTCTAAGAAGTCAGAAAAACTTATTTTGTGTTATCAAAATTATAAGGGAAAAATTAACCCTTATCCAACCTTTTTAGACGCTACTGAACGATAAATAGGTAAAATTAATTTATTTTAGCAAATCCTAGCAACTGTAACAATAAAACTTTTGTCAAGACTAAATGTTGCTATAGAAACGAGAGATGATCTTTTTATCAGAGGCGTACAACAAATTTGGACATAAATTTTAATAATTTTTATCTCTAAAAGGAGAACACTTTTACCTGAACTTTTTTTAACTTTTAGCATCCATACGTCAAGACCAAATGTCGATTTTATTTTGTACGTACCTTTCAATAACACGCTGTATATCAAATTTTGAAAATTATTGCATGATTAGTCTATTTAGAACGCGTGAGTGTTAATTTTTAAGTACGTACTGTTCCATTATTGCCCTATCTAATAAAAACAGTGGTATTGTTGTTACTTTTTAACATACACGAGTAACTACCTATTATTATAATTTGTGTCTAGCATAAATTATATCGCAAATTGCTTCGAATCGTTTGAATTGTTATTGTTGATTGTTATATAACATAACATTTCTATGTGTAAAATTACACTTCTAGATCTTTTGAAAAATTTTATTTTCATAGAATGTATATAATTTTCAGATGCGAGTACTGAATTGGTATTGTTACGTTGATTTGTAATTAAAAAAAAAAATGGTATAGGTAGAACTCAACAATTTATTTCTCGGTAATACAAATTTATATGACTAACAACACAGCGATTATAATGCCGACTCAACTTGGACTCTAATATTCTCTTGTTGACTAGATTCCAAAACTCACTGCTTCCGACGATGGTCTCTATTTAAAACCATAAATTCCTTTCTCGATAGTTCGCCGTCATCGCAGAACCGCTTGTTTAGTCGAACGCCGCGGCGTCCGGCCGCCGTCACCGATGATGAAGTGTCCATCACCGCCATACATACTAGAAAGCTCTCTAGAAAACCCATAGGCGTCGTACCGTTCTTAATTTATAAATGAAGTTCGACCTGATTATATTGACTTTTACTTTCACTTAGAGATGCACGACTCATAAATAATGTTGCTCAGTTATTTGTTGTGATAACCCAAACATCCCACGAAAACTGAGACATGAGAACAAAATTTTGCACCCGCGAAAATTTCAAAATTTGGCTTTGAACTGTCGTCATCAAAATGTTGCCCTATGTTGTGTGCTTTTTCTCTTGTTCAGCAGAGTACCTTCAAACACAAGATATGAAAAATAAAAACTGGTTATTCCTCGATTGCCATGGGAAAAATCTGTGAAATTTGTTATGACGAGCTGAGGGCCCAATGCTCAGTCAATACGAATATTTTAATATTACAAATTTAAACACGAACAGAAAAAAGGAATCTGAATCTTAGTAAATTGTTGCAAATACTCAAGTTATTATCATTAGTATTAATAATGAATAAAAATTAACGTCTGTGTCGGGAGTCTTTGTCATAAATCACGGTTATTGCATTGATAGCTTTCATCTAGATTCGATCGATCTCTCCTCAGTTTTCAACATTACATTATTGTGTTGCGAGGTCCATGAGGCACAACACATACTCATCCTCACGGTGCAAGGTTGTTAATAACTGACCGCATCATCTACTTTTTCGCGGACTACCAGATCGGAAGTAGTTCGTTTCACAAGGAAGCAGGTACACCAAGCGAAAAAATTATACGGGTTCACAAATTAGACTTTCCAGTTCACGATATTATTAAATTACGAGATGAAATTTTCAAGGTTCTTGCTCTTAAAATGGAGAAACATTTAAAATTAGTTTAAATACCATAAATAAATTATTTTAGATCTCAAGAGAAAAGTTCGGAAAACATTCAGAAATTTCAGATATAATTGTTATAAACAAAATTTAACTCCTGTTGATAGCATCGTCAATTTTACGCATTCCAGATTGGAAATGCATTAATTAACCGTATTATGTTAAATTGCTGAAATTACAAAACTAAATTTAATCTACCCTTATTTTCACCACGTGTTTACACTAACTCATCCCTAGATCGAGGGACTCTCAAATTTTCTTATACCTGCTCTACATTCGAATCTTAAAACTGAACACATGGTTGCCTATGTTTGAACGATTTTCCTTATTTTGAGATTTTCAAATGCGATTTCACTCCAGTTTTCAAAATCAACATTTAAATTCCAAAATTCCTTCTGTTATTAAGTAATAAGTATGAATGCCTAATATATTTTTTTTTATTGTAGCAATTCATTAATTTAATTCAATAAATAAATTTTCAAAAAATTTTGGCCCGCAGTAAGGCAGCTCCTAATACTTCTTGTTATCACTTTAAATAAAACCTGCTTTTATTAAGCTTGAATTTACACCAACTATAGTTGGTAACAACTGACTCCCACCCTTTTCTTATCCTGGCGAGAGTTTGCCAGCCTGATTTTTTCTGCAGAAGATTAGAAAACAGCAGCCATTCAAATTGAAATGATTTCTCACCAAATTGACAAAACTAGTCCATAACAATACAACCACTAAATTGCGGAATTAAAATTTTAATTCAAAAACAAACAAGTACACATAAGAAAAAATAGAAAATATTTTTTAAAATTAAACACAAACAACGACTAACCTAAAAAAATAACACAATAATTCAAATTAAAAAAAAAAACAACACTTAACTAATCCTTCTTTTTTTAAAACAATTTTTTTCTTCACTGTCCAGACTCCTTCGTCGCAATACACTCACCATTTGTTCTTTAAAATCTCTAATTTCACGAACAATATCTTTTCTAAAACCTCTGCACTCACTGAGCATTTCACGTAATAAGTCATTTTGATCTCTGAGGGCAAGATTCTGTTTCCACAACAGCGCATTTTGCTCCTGTACTGCCAGGGTATGCTCTTCCTGTAATAGCGTTGTGCTGAGCATGTGCTCAGCTGCGAGGGCTCTGCTACTTTTTTTTTTAATTTTAGCGGTAGGTTCTTCTACTGGAGATATGGGTGGTAGTGGTAGTGGGGATAATGCAGATATGCTGAGAACATTCGGCGAAGAAGGGGAAGATAACGATTCTACAAAAGAATGAAATTAGGATGCAAACGTTAGTGGCACTAATTTCCTTTGAATAAATATATATTTGAAAATTCTGGGTTCTTTAATATTTTATATCTTTCACAATACTCTCTCCCAAATTAATAAGTGTTCAGTTTGTAAACAAATTTTGTCCCAAAATAAATGTCCGACTTCATAAAAAATCGATCTTTTTAATTAATACAAATATAAAATTTTATCCTTAAATTCAATTAAATTATGTTTAATTAATGTGTTCGTCATGTTTAAAAATAAAGTTTATATTTAGCAAAATAGAAATTGAACACTTAAATGAGATACACAAAGTAGGTATCTATTAATATCTGTATTTAAAAAGTCCGATTTATTCACTAGGTTTTAAAGTTTGACGTTAATAGGTTAATTAGTAACTAAAAAAAAGTTAAAATAATTACAGCAATAAAACTGGAAATATTAAATCTTTATACAGTTTCTATGTGATTTTAACATTTTATAGAGTAAATTAATTAATAACTGATATTGACTTCAACGATACACCTGAAACAGAAATAATGTTGAGTGGACAATACTTACCTTGTTCCCTGGAAGTATCATTGCCTCCTTGAATCTCCTCTACGTTTTCTGTGTCGATAAATGCAATAACTTTCCGGTCCAGTTCACTCAATAAAGGAACATCATTTTCGTCCCCATCTATCTCTTTTGCTACACGTTTAAAGGCATCCGCCTTTTGTTTCGTTCGAAACTTTAGGTCACGAATTTTTCTCCGGATCTCCTCCAGTGACCGAACCACCGGAGCTACAGCATTAACGCTTTCCACTACACTCTTCCACGCCCTATCGCGATGAAACTGCGTTAATTTGGGCCCCTTCAGAGGTCCCCATAATACATCACGTTTTTTTGTGACTTCGTCCACCAAAATCGAAACTTCGGTGGTTGTAAAGTTTTTCGATCGGGTTTTGTTGCTAAAACATAATTTTACGGTTAACTTTTCCATTGCAAAGTTGTAAACTTACGACTTATTTGCCATGGAAATTCGTTGAAAAACGTAAGGAAACAACCGGCACTGTTGCGATGGAAGATGGAGGTTATGTTTACAACAGAATGACCAATGACATATGTCGTTGCCATGGACGAATGAATTATATTCGTTCCTTCATGATCGTTGCTAAGGGCTACAATGTGGTGGCTATAGTTCCGCCGTAGCTCTGAGGCAGCAAAAATTGCCCCAACATTGTAGCCATAGAAAATCATACACAGTAGGTCCCCGGTCAGAGAACTGGTCCCAAGTACGTTGACCGCAAGGGGTAGGCTGTATGCATGATACAAGTAAATATGGTATGGACATACGCAGGTTTGCTGACGTCACCTGGCTGTATTCAGGCGGGAAATTGAAATATTTACCGAGCCCAACTAAAGTCACTAGATCTACTATTACTTTTAGAAAGTACGGCAAACTGCCTGTGGTCGGAATTCGACAGAGAGGAACCTAACCTATGTGTTAAACAAAGATAGCGCGAGGCTAGTAATTTTCGCTATCTGTCAACGAAAGGTTGATGTGTTTACGATTTGAGGTTACGACAGACTGTACTAGAATTATTGAGTTAACGGACCGGAAAGAACACTATTCCAGTCCCAAAGTAATTCCAGCCCTATTCAACGAGAAAGTGTCACCGGTAACCAGCAAACAGTCGTGGAAGACGTGTTACCACCAAGGCAATTGACGGCCAAATGACAGTAACAGGATCGCCATACTGGAAGCAAAAAATACCTGCTGTCGAAAAGACGGAGCATAACAAGGACACAGATATTTTCTTATTATTTGCTATCATCCCCGCTATTTTTTTAACAACGCTAGGTCGCTAGCAAACCACCAATTTGTTTTTACGCATCAGTTTGGTAACAATAAACAATAACCCTCATAACCACAAAAACTCATAACTGCCTCATAACCCTTAAAATTGATATTTGACATCAGATGTCAACACAGAAGTGGAAGGTCATTCATTCCACATGACGTCAGATAACGTTGCGCAGAAGAAGACGAGTTTTGGTTCATGGGATGTCCATACCATATTTACTTGTATCATGGGCTGTATGTAGGTACTCTTTTTTAAGAGTACTATATTATTTTTCAAATTCAAAAATGCTATACTTTTTACTTTTACTTCCCGATCATAGCTAACGAAATATTTCGTTAGCCTACCGTCGGTGGTCCCTATTATTGAAACTGCCACGCGCCCTTTTCTAGAGATTTCGCGATCGAGGTCGTTCTGGAGTGTCTTTACTCGAAACTCGAATCAGTGATGAGTGATGAGCCTAGAAAACTCATGGGCGTCGTATCGGGGCGGACAATGGGTTATTTCGTAACAATATTGTTACAACAAGAATATTCCGCCAAAAGTAAGGAATGCAAACAAAAATTATGAAACTTGCGGAATTTTTAAAATTGGACCATTATCGGTGATCGTCAACAAAATGTAGTACCTATGTTGCGATTTTAAATAGGGAAATGCGTTTAAATGCAAAGTAATGAACCTCAAATATGGAAAAGTAACCTTAAATGCTAATGTAAACATATAGAAGGAAAATATTTTATTAATTCTGGTCAAAAGGTTTTATGACTTCTATGAAACTTATCTAACCAGATGCAAAACCTTTTCATCCTTTCAAACGCAAGACTACCAATTTATATTAATAAATGTATGTACAATTAGTTGTGAAATTAAAATAATTCTTAAGGTCTCGACATCTTAAATAACCAAGGTAAGAGAATGGTAATATCAAACTTAATAGGTTTTTACTATATTTTAGCAGTTAAATGTATAATTACCCTGCACGGGCACCCCATGAATACTCTACAAAGAAATAGACAAAAAAAATTGGCAATTTTGGATACGAACTGTCCATACCTTCTTCCATCGTCGATTTTCAACAACAGAATATTCAAAATTCAATAATTGGGAGAACAGACGCAGACATAGGAAATGACACAAAACAAGTACAAAATACCCCTCCACTTTCAGGTTCATAAACCCCCTTGTTAATTAAAAAAAAAAAAAAACTAGATAAATTCTGAGAATTGAAGAAACACTTCTATTGACGGCAAATCTTCTGTTTTATTTTTAAGTTCAGAAGTTTTAATGATGTGTTTTATTTGAGTAGAAAAACGAAATAAACGTAACCTATCCCACTTGCTTCACATAGTGTATTTCAGAAGTTCTAGATAATAACAGACAAGTCGATGTCACCTATACTGATTTTCAAAAGGCATTTGATCAGGTCGACTATTTCATATTACTTCAAAATTGCATAACTATTTAGAATTTTCTCGTTCACTAGTGCAATTAATCAATCATATTCATACCTACTCAATCATCTATGTATTAAACTCAATTTGTTCAACATCTCATGTACTCCAAGTATCTAACTTGGGTCCTATGCTATTTCTTTTATTCATCAACGATTTAGTCGACGTCATCTTGTTAAATTAATACTTGCAAACGAACTTAAAATTTTCATTGAAATCAAGGATATAGAGTCTAATGATGTATTTTGAATAAGTTAAATCCTAATGTTTCCTAATTTTGTATAATCATTTTCACTAAAAAATGTCCCCAATTTTGGGTTCTTACATCATCGAAGCTCCGAATCTGTCAAAGATTTAGGAATGCTTTTTGACAAGAAACTGTATTTTCTGGTTATATTATATAGTAGTAGGAAAGGTGTGCAATAAGGTGAGTAACAAAAAAGGTCACTGTTATAATTTTGGTGCAAAATAATTCCGGGGCAACTTGGCTGGCTTCTCTCAACATTCGCTAGAACAATAATCGTTCCCGAAGATGGTCTCTATTTAAAGCCATACTTCCCTTCTAGAAGTCCCGCAGTCGAGGTCTTTCTGGATTGCCCATGGCGACTTCCGTTCCAGGCTTTTCTTCGGCCGCCGCCATCGACAATGAGGCATCATCGCCGCACATACTAGAAAACCCATAAGCATCATAAACCCCGCCCCTGACCTCTTTCCTTCTGCATTTGCTTTAGTTCACATAGTGCCACATTTTACGCAAATCTCCGCTAAGTGTAATGTCTGGTAACTTCAGTGACATAGCCACTGGTGAGACTGATATTATATATTCAGTTCGTAAATACACTGATCATGTTAAGGGTGTACATTCACTACTATATAACGTGTATCCGATGGTCAAGCATAAAAGTATCAAAAACAGGTGTAAGAAAGTACAAAGGAAAATAAAAAAGCGATAAATCTGGAAAGTTCGGTTGTGGCAGACAAGGATATTTCACATATCAACGACGAAGGGCACGTAATGGTTGTTGACCGGGTGGTCAATGACTAGATCACTCCGACGCTCTTCTCTATTTCCACTTTATCAAAATGCATCCTCCAATGAGCGAGAAGTATTCTTCACAATACTTCGTTACCTCCTTAATGTATTCGAATGTTACATCTCTGGCTGCAAAGTATGATGATTTCTGTGCCCACGTTAGCTCATACAAACCGTCAATCTTTTTGCTGATCGAAACATGGCTGACCCAGGTTAGGCAGTTCTTTATCACAAACCGAATTTTCGTAGTTTGGAATGCTTTGCCTCGAGAAATTGTCGAGGCTCCGTCTACTAATGCGTTTAAATCAAGGTATGATGCTTTCCAAAAAAACTTATGGTTAGTCTTAGTATCATAAACGGAATACCCACCACTCTAGGTAGCGCGGACATAACAAGCGTGCCTCTGCCTGATCGCGTCTTTAATAATATTAATAATAATATCTGTAACCTGTGAATCTTCATTACGATTCAGTTAAATTTACTAAGTCTTAATTCGGAGAAATACTTAGTTGATGTAAAAAGAAATATGTAACTAATTAACAGAAAAAAAGTTGATTGAAAATGTGTTAAACCATCATCTAAGTGAAATAGGAATAAGACTCATTTTTTCAACTTCAGATGCAGTATATTTTAAAATTTCATTACTGATACAAATAAAAAGCTTAACAACGAGCAAAATTTAATGAGCTTTCTGCAATAACTTTCAATCTACTCTGATAACCCAAACTTCCCGCCTTTAAATTGACCTTGGAAAAGTTTGAAAGGCCCGCGAAAAATTTAAAAATTCAAAGTTTGGCCCTGGCTGTGATCATCTAACAAATAGGAACCTACATTATGTGTTTTTTTTTTGCTTTTGAAAAATGGCGGGAAGACGGTTCTTTCATACAAGTGAGCATATACTGCATGTGAGTTGAGAGCGCAAGAAATAATAGACAAATTTATTTTGGAGGGGGGAGTACGGCACCCCCTCACAGGAGGAAAGACGCTGCGAAGATTTACCCCTCAGCGCAAAAAACCCCTTTGGTTTTATTCCCGGACATATTACATTTCAAACACCTTAAGATATATGAAAGAAAAACACTCGCGAATTGACAGACATACACATATGAAAAATGAACAAACGGAAAATTCTATACATCTGTTTGGAATCAATGCAAATATTTGAATATCACAAATTTAATAAAAACGAAGCAAAATCCGAATTAAGTAACTGGATGCAAAGACACAAGTTATTACAGGCGTGTGGCGGCAGATCTCCTTTTTTTTAGTTACGGCAATTAACAGGAGCACAACAAAAGTACCCCTGGAGCATTGTAGCATAAGCGGAGTCTGGGCTACCGGTCTGGAGCTGTTCTCCCCCCACGACGGTGATTCTATCTATCGCAAAGCCTACCCCACACGCATATCTCCATTACGAACGTGCCCTGCGGAACTAGGCCATGACGATCGTCCAACCCGCAAGAGATCTCGACTATTGGGCCAAGTCGAGAAATTTACAACATCGGCGGCCGCCCCTGAATCTATCCAAACCTGTGGACTTGTACAGGTGGCACGATAAATTTCGCCAGCTCGACTAGAAACCGAATTTCGCTTCTGCCACGTTTTCAGTGTCATTTAACCTCAATTCCATTTTAAAATATTCAACCTCTTATAACTCTAATGTTAACAACAACTGAACAAGTATTAAAGTTTCAAAGAGCAATAAACAACATTTAGATTCGCCACACAACCTTGTGAAATTTTAAACAACAAATAATTCTTATGTGAGATTAAAGTTGGACATCAAATAATTTATATGATAGAAACAAAACATCAACAAAGTCTTTACAAAACAAAACTTAGCAAGGATTTATGAAATAGAAGATCTGGTGTGAAATAAACTTGTAGAAATAGAAATATTATGTAAGGTTAAAACTGTAGAACATGAAATTTACGTTCAATTAAAATTATACAACAAACAAAATTACTAAGGTTAAAATTGTGAAATTAAGAAATATTGTATGAGGTGAAAATTTGCAGAGTTAACAAAATTTACATGAGATTAATTTTTGCCACACTTTATCAACGTTCAAACAAAGAGTTTACATTATGCCAAATTATATCATGATCTAAATGATGGGTTATTTCAAAAATAATTTACGTTGAAAGTTTAAAATACCGCGAACTGGTTACCCCAACAAAACACATAATAAACAAACACAAAAATATCCAATCATCGCTCCGAGGGAAAAAGCGTCTCGGTGATCTAAAATTTAAAATCGTTGTGAGGAAAAAGCGTCTCGGTGATGTAAATTTTAAAATCGTTGCGAGGAAAAAGCGTCTCGGTGATGTAATCAATCTGTGGCGTTGTGAGGCATGCCCCGATAATGATAACGATGATAACCACCTAAGGGAAGAAAATATCATAACCCCCACCAGTTCGCAGTATAATGAACTTGTTTAACTGCCGTAAATGAACTATTAGTAACCTTGTGTGAAGGATTAAGAAGTGTTATAATGTAACACTTACGTATATGCATCCAGAAGCTTATTCGTAATTAAACAATAAGGTGTTTTCCTGACGAAATGCATTTCATGAAATCTTCTAGCAAGTGGTTTATTTAAATAATCCTGATTGTTAAACTGTGTTTGCACTAGCTGACTATTAAGAAAAACTAACTTGATTGGTGAATTTACCGACAATGAAACAAATTTACAGCACGTGTTTCGCGTTCGACCGGAAGTCCGCATTTCTCCGATTAAA